TAACTGTTTCGTCTTATTTTGACCGCATTGGATATCTCTTTCTCCTTCAATTGTTACCATCTACCACATGACCCTTGTAAACATAATTGTGTTTATTTACATGAATAAACGAATTTGAATTTGAGTTATTGAATTCATTTTAGGAAAGATATAAAATTACTTGAATTCATTTTTTCTTAGTCACCCAAAAACCGATTTGCACTTAACAGCTTACGTTTCATTTTTATTATTTCCAAATGAAACTCTGGAAGCGTGCTAAAAACAAATTCAACAGGTTGCCAGCGATCCACTTTTTCGATGTTATCCACTAGGATATTTTTAAAATATCAAGAAGTTGAGCACAAATAGTACTCGTAAGCAACCCACCATAATACTTGCGCAAACACAAAGTTTTGTAAAAGGCTCTGATAGCACCCTAGGCAATTATGTCCTGCTTATATTCAGAAAAACATCACAAACAGCAGAACACAAATTGAAGGTAACTGCGAAATGGGTACATATCACGGGTCATGAAATTCAAATGAAAATGCGGGTACAAAATTATCATTCACAAAAACATATTTACTTGACATATCGATAATTTTAAAGTTCCACGCTAAATTCCCCTATACTTGACTGAAGTGATATCCGAATTTATTCTTGCCTACTGTCGCTAGTTGCAGATCTGTTGGCTCTTGGTGTCAAACCTATAGAGCAGGTACCGATTCTTTCAAATCATGAGTACGTACATTATTCGTCGAAATTTCCAAGTTGATGATGAGTGAAACAGTTTTTCGTGATGTAGATGTCATATGACTTAAAAAACATAACATCTCACTTTAGAAATTTTTCGCGATTACAATACTTCCTCGGCAATGGCGCGGGAATTAAAACGGCTTTAAAATCGAGGAGTATCAGCGATCGCGATTCGTCCAAAATACGATTTGTAGAGGTTTGCGCGCTTCGTAATCGACGCTTTATTTTTTGATGAAATTTTCACAGTGTGCCTAAAACAAACCCCACAGGGTGCTATATAGCCACTTCTTAATTTTTTTCACTAGGTTCTTTTTAAAAAAATCGCGAAGTTGAACAGAAAAAGTGTGCACTTCAACCCATCATAAAACTTGTGCAAAAACAGATTTTCAAAAAGTGCTCCTATAGCACCCTGGGCAGTTATCTTTTCAACATATTGTATAAATTTCATTCAAAAATATTGAAAAATGGAGTGTCAGTTTCGAAGCAGCTGAACCCTTGGTCGGAGCCGTCTTAATATATACAATAAATAAAGTTAAATCGCAGCCCGTAGTCTTCATCAAGAATTTTATGTGTATACCTACGATTTCATATTCGAAACTATGAAAACTTGAAGGTTCTTAGTGCTGTCATTAAAGTCCTGTTTCTGTGGAGTAGATCCAGTAATTATCTATAAAACGTACATCAACTATACACAAGCATATGCTTGCCAGCATACATTAACAGTCATCATGAGTTACAACCTTTGTTTTTATATGAGTATTTTGTTTATATAGGCACTTCATCAATTTACGAGCTGTAACAACAAAGATGTAGCATGTGGTATTAAGTTGGTTTATATCTTCATTACAGGTTCATATTTGGAAACACTCCAGCTTCTTTGCTTTTATAAAGGTAATTTCAATTTAGTTAAATTCATTATGGCAATTTACTGAATGAGAGAAACATCACAGTACTTGTACGGAAACATTAGTCTAAGATCAGTAGTTTCTGCTAAGTATTATCCAAAAACTTGTCGCGCATAACTGATATTTCGGTTATACGAGCCGTAACATAAAAATGTTTGGGCATTATCTAATTTTATCTAAAAGTTTGTATATTTTGTATGGTTAAAAATTAAGTGTCTCAACATATTGCTGACACATAAATGTTCGGACAACGGATACATTAAAAAGAAGATAATAGCAGGACATGGAAACAAAAGAGTGTTTACAATTTGACGTTTTGATTTAAGAATAAATTCTGTGAATCAACTTGCTTTAGAATGTTGCGTGGTAAAGCAACAAATGGTGGAATCAGATTTGGAATCATAAAAGAAAGAGTTTTCGTGATATTGCTAAAAAAATAAAGCCTACGGCAGCAGAAAGTATAGAGACACAGATTCAACTCAAGACAAGGTGTTGGTAGGCCACGTAAGATCAGTACTAGAAATGATCCACAACGAAACAGTCCTAATTTACGAGTAAAATTACAAAGTGTATGGGATTATCATTCTTCGAACACTCATTAACAAAATCTCAAAACGTTTTAGAGGGTACTATCATCATAAGCCTTTGTTTTTGAAATGTTCGTCAAGCGAGCCCTATATGTATATTTTACAATAACAATATCTCATAAAATGCGTTGGGTCTTTGTTAATGGAAGCTTGAAGGACACTTGAAACATTAAATTTTTTGTTTCTTCATATTGTATCGGAAATGGCATATTTTTAACTTTTTCATATATTACATCGCTTTTATATCGAAGTCTATCAATGTTAGAAAGAAGTTCTAAAGCATTTTTTTATCAGACTGTTATAAGAAAAGTCTAAAAACTATAAGCAAAAAATAAATTTTAAGGATTTGATTGAAAAAAATGTTCAAATAATTTGGCCCCAAATTTTGGGCTTGGCAGCATGCAAATCTGTTAAGAAGGATGCTTTTTGAATGAGATTATGCAAACAACAGCAACAGATCGAAATATTAATCCGAACAAATGCAAAAATACTACCTCGGAGTGGAAGCAAAAATTAAAATGTCCTGTGTATCGATGACGTCACTCCTGTCATCTGTCATTGATTTAGGCAACGACTTATACACAAGAGTTTCCCATGGACTCAGAGCCTACTATAGTAGTATTGTACTATATTAAATGACATGGAGACAATATTTAGCAAGCTATGTGTAAAACGGTCTATTTCCAAAAAGGGAGTTGGGTGGAAGATTTTGATTATAATTCCATTTGCAGAACGAAATACGATGTAAATTATATTGTAATGCAAAGAATAAACAGCATAATATCTCCGATTTTGTCTGTGATGCTAGTTTGACAGAGACACCTGAATTGCTATTGAACACAATGATTTTGATGAACAGTTCCTTTTTGTCAACCACCTCTCCTGTAAATAGACCGAATATGTTATGAACTGGACGTATTTTATTTTAAATAACTGCAGTTTTACAATTTTGTATTCACTAAAGTTACTTGCTTTATTTGTGCTCCAGACCGTTCACGTTTCATTGTTTTGACATGGATATTTTTTATCGTAAAGCTACTGTTACATTGAGAAATGATTTTGATATATCTTTAATGATCATTCATGTAATGTTTTACCGTATCCAGATAAAACTGCATGTATATATGGAGGCAGATTATAGGCAATTCAAGAAATTTCAAGATGTTCTCTGTTAGCCAAAAGTACACGGTTTGGTTATTTGAAAGTCCAAGGTCCCTTCCTGGTTTGTTGGTGCATGGTTATACTGTTTATCTGACACTGTCCCTAAACTACTCCATGGAATGTTTCTTTATGCACTCAAGGCATGAACACCAATTTATATTTCTCACTGCTCAGTAATATTATTTAAACAAAAGAGGTACCTAGTGGAATAAATAATCATAAATGCATATTGCAGGAAATGTGCTAATAGAATTCACTTTTTACGCATATCCAAGAAAAGCGTATCATTGTGTATCAAGACAACAAATGCGTTATAAATCAAGGAATAGATGCTGTTCATCTATACGTATATTGTATTATCTTTTATTATTACTTGTAAAAAGTGACTGAGTTAAAGTCAAGGCTCTTGGGAAAGGCGTTGATCAAAATAAATCGGATTTTATCGCCATTGTACTGGCTAGGAGGTTACTGAAATACAGATCTTCTTTCTATCGTTGTTATAAATACAGGGTGGCGCATCGAAAACGAAACAGACGCATTTACTGGCAGCTCAGTTTTTTTTTGAAAAACGCTCAGACCCGTCGATTTTGTTTTCGAGGGGGTCACAAGTTTGGCAAAAAATCACGTTAGCACGTGCAGCCCCCTAAGCGGGGGTGACACCACCACCAAAATCTTAAATGGAAAGGGGGTCGAGTGATACCTTATTTTAAAGGTCTTTCAATTCCCTTTATAATGATATAAAATTAATGTACTTCAGTTCAGTAGTTTTGAAGATTTATTGATTAAATCTTAAATAAAACTAATACATTATCATTAGTTCCGAAAAATATTTCAATAATTTCAACTCTTTCTGCTGTGGAATATACCATGTTTAATTTATGTAATAAAGCGTTACAAGTTATTTTAGGAACAAAGTTTGATCAAATAACCGCAAACTATGTATTAAATTCCTATTTAAAGTAAGTACGAGATATTTCCTTATCATTCTTCAAGAAATAACTTTTTAGCCACAAAAAACGCTCCAATAGCTATTTTCAACAGCAAAATGATAAACAAACCATGGGCGTAGTGAAGAAAAGCATTTACTTGTTAAGTAAATTCTGAAAGTAGTACAAACTAATCTGATGTATCTATTAAAGTCTACTTAAAGCTTTAAGTTAATAAATCTTCAAAACTGCTGAACTGAAGCTCATGTATTTTACATTATTATAAAGGGAATTGAAAGACCGTTAAAATAAGGTATCACGCGACCCCCCTTTCCATTTAAGATTTTAGGGTTGGTATCACCCCCGCCCGGGGGGCTGCACGTGTTAACGTGATGTTTTGCCAAAATTGTGTCCATCTCGAAAACAAAATCGACGGGTCTGAGCGTTTTTCCAAAAGAATATCGAGCTGCCAGAAGAAGCGTCTGTTTCGTTTTCGATGAGCCACCCTGTATAAATTATCTACTATTTGCTTCGAAACTAAAAACATAGCAATATTTCTAGAGTTGAAGACAGCTTAAAAAGATTTGTAAATCAATTGTTTAGCGTATAAAAGCACAAATTGCAACCTTTGCGACCGAAATCTGTATTCCAATGTTACTTTCTCCCATTGGCATTTTATGCTTCATCTCCTGACTATTATATTTTTGTAAATAACTGATTTTCAAAATAAAATAAATTTTAACATTTGTATTTGTGAATGTGTTCAAAATGGCCCATTACCAAAATACTAGATATTGAATATTTCTACACCATTCATGAATAACTCTGGGGACATAAGATTTTAGAGTCAAACTTCACTATATTCTCACAGTACAACCTATTAAGCATTTTATAAGGATCATACCTTGAATTGTATCACACATTCATCGATACTTTCGCTGAATCTTGAAATTACTTGTGTACACCTACTTTCTACCCTTTAAGTATTGCATTTTTATCTGAATCACCCTGTATAGTGTATACTTCCGGACATCTGCTTGCAAACACGAAGCTTGATTTAGTGTCCAATGATCCGTGTCCGTCTCCTGACAAGTGTTTATTGAATATTTCACAAAAAAATGCGATTTCACAATTAAGTCTTTTTTAAGTTATGCTCGGATTATTTTTGATCAGCGTTTCCTGATGGCAGATCTGCGTAAATTCCGCTGGGCCCTTCGTTGCTGCATACAGAGTCTTCTGGCGTTCTAGAAGGTTCTGCCTCTGTCACTTCCTCTTCCTTATGCCGCTTGTGCTTGTCTCCACTGCGGTCTTTGTGTTTCCCACCGTGTAGATTCTGTACAAAAAAAAGTAAAATAAGTGTTTTGGTTTCTTAGGATCTATGAGCATCTCATAAAAATTTGGTCGGATAAGATTTACATGTATTCAACCATAATGCTAAAGACTGATTTTATGATAAGCATAACTGGGTCGTATTTGAGGATATTTAGTTGGTTTAAGAAAATTAAAATTCAGTTCTTTACTCTAAAATAGTGTCAGCAATCTAACATTTTACCAATATTCGATAAGAGTGCGCACTTGTACCGCAAACACCTTCTCAAAAAAATGCATATTAATCAATTATAAAAAGGAGCACTTGGTCACTGCTTCTTTTTGCTTGGGGCTGCCTAGCCCAAACTCGCGCGTTAAGCATTGCATTAGTGTAGATGGATCAGTTAATAAACAGCAAGTAGTCGCGCGTTTTTTTGCAGCGCGACAACTTAACGCCCGTCTGTACCAGCAGTTAGACTTCGTGCGCAGGTGTTTGTTTTGATGAAGCGTAAATGAGGTGCGAATATGGTATAAATTTGAATTCTATGTATACAGGGTGACTTTGAAGTTGAGTCATTAATTTTCAGATAATGATTGTAGAAGGAAGATAAACCAAAATATGTGTGTAAAAATAAAAAAAAAATGTTACCTTGTCTTATAAAGTATCCTCCCGACAAGTATTTCAGTGCGGACCTGTATTTGATCGTGCGGTCTTGGAGCACCGGCATGCCGTCCCCTGAGAGGTCTTAAGTCACCTGATTCACGAGCCCTTTGTACTACATTAACAAAGGCACGAGGGGTTGGTTGCACTCGATTGGGAAACCCATCCGCATAAATCCGTGATGCCGCGTAAATAAGAATCATGTCGTGTCAGCATTTTCGTAAAAATGTGCCATTTTTGATTTCGTTTGAGCCACGCAACAGACACCACTATTCACTCACGCGTTACCGACTGACACTGACTGTATACAACTGAATAAAATAATTGTAAAAACATCGTTCCAAATTCTTTCGCTTTTTTGTTTTCGATGCGATGAACCGATAAGGCGGATTATATCCGTTGTTGCCAAACACGAGCACATAATATTATTATTGAGACAGGGCGGTACTCAAACTTCCAAAGGGCTATAACTTTGTTACTTTAATTTTACAAGAAAAATGGTAAAGGAAAAAACATTTCTCTTGATCAGATCTACTCACTGTTAAAATAAATGACTCAACTTCGAAGTCACCCTGAATATGTTGTATGTCAAGGCAATTGCTAATCGAGATCTTAACAACAATTTTTGAAGCTTCATATCACATCCTTACACAAACACAAACCTTTTTTACCCTGTATGCCACTATAGTCCCACAGTATCTACAGGTATTTAGGCATAAGGCCTTCGTGGTTGTCAAAGCTTAACAAAAGTTCCTGGGGCGTAAACGTGAAGCTATTGTTGAGTAGCTTGTTCTCAACTTCGTCGTTATATTTTTGGTAGCGTTTTGAAAAATGCCATGTTCTACTATTAATTACGATAATATAGCGAGTCGTGGAACTTCAGCTGGAAATTCTGTAAACCAGATGGTAGCCGTTAAATTTTATCAAGTGGAAAACGCAGTTAACGCTGCAAAATTAATTAGTAGGTATTTTATACCAGATGCACAGTGAGGAGGTCTTAATTTATCCGGTATGGTCTCAAGTACCATTAAAAGCTGTTTTTCTCTCATCAGGTTTTACGACTGTAACAAAACTGGCAAGTTTACTGTATTGTAATACTTGCAGAAGCAGCCTACGCAAAGGATCCGGGTGCAACTATCAAAGACGTGGACAGATAAGTAATATTTTAAAAATGAATGTCTGACGAGAAAACCTGAAATAAGCGTCAGAAGGTTACTGGGTTTGAAACTAAAGAAAGTACAGCTTTCAAGCTACGTTAACATCAGATGCTTATCGGGAACATTTCTCTATCGTTCCAAGTTACTATCGGTTTAGTATTTATTTCATAGAAGCTACCAGTTGCCACAAGAAAGTCAGGAGGCTATGAAAATTGAGGATGTTTCCAAATAGCATTCATTTGAAAAGAATAGCAGGCTGTGGAAAACAAATGAAAGTCACAGCTTACTAATTATCACTGGACAACAAATTTTAGTTTTTTAATTGTATCTTGTGGGAAAAGTGCACTTCTTTGTTACTTTTGAGGCGCTGAATCCAAAAATGACCATGAAATAAAAAAATTAGTTGCGGTTTAGAAAAAAAAAGAAAAAGTAACAAGATTCATATACTTATAAGAATCACTATATGCGCTTTCTTTTTGCTGTTCTTTTATGGATCATTTCTGGAGCATCTCTACCAAGAGTCCAACAGTAGTCTGCAAGCATGGAAGGATTCCATTTTCCCTGGTACCTTTTTTCCATTGTTGAAATATCCTGATGAAAACGTTCGCCGTGCTCATCACTTACGGCTCCGCAATTGTCAGGAAAAAAGTCCAGGTGTGAGTGTAGGAAATGTATCTTAAGAGACATATTACAGCCCATCTTTTGATACGATGACAGCATATTTTTGACAAGGGTTTTATAGTTGTCAGCTTTTCTATTTCCCAAGAAATTAGTGACCACCAGACGGAAATCATTCCAAGCAGTGTTTTCAAACTGTGTATCTTTCAAAATATTTCGAATCTGTGGCCCAACAAAAATACCTTCTTTAACCTTTGCCTCACTTAGTCTGGGAAATTTCTGACGCAGGTATTGAAAAGCTGACCCAACTCTATCTAATGCCTTGACAAAGTTTTTCATTAGGCCCAACTTGATATGCAGTGGTGGTTATAAAATTTTTTTCGAATCTACTAATGGCATATGCTGTATATTTTTTTGACCTGGCTCTAGGAATTGACGAACAGGCCAGTTTTGTCTGGTGTAATGAGGTGCCTTTGCCCGACTGTCCCATTCATACAAAAAACAGCAAAACTTTGTGTAGCCTAGCTGCAGCCCAAGTAAAAGTGCAACAACTTTCAAATCGCCACAAATATGCCATTGGTGCTCATCGTATTTTATGCATGTCAATAGGTACTTCATATTGTCATATGATTCTTTCATGTGAACTGCATACCCTACAGGAAGAGATGGTAAAATATTTCCAATATGCAATAACACTGCCTTTAAACTCAATGTTGAACCGTCTATAAACAATCTCTATTCTTCTGGGTTATAGTTCATATTTAAAGCCGCCAGTAAGCCGTTAATGTTACTGCAGAAAACCAAGTTATTCTCCATATTGAAAAATGGTTCTAAGTCTTTGTGACGTTTACGAAAAACACATACCGAAACATCGTCTGCTAACAAGTTCCACTGCTGCAGTCTTGATCCAAGTAACTCTGCCTTACATTTTGGAAGTTCTAAATCTCTTACAAGATCATTTAATTCTGACTGTGTTATTTTGTGCGGTTGGTGGCATGACGTGCTCGGTATAAAATCAGGATGTCTTGACGTTGATGGCATATCTTCTTCCTGACGAATCACTCGATCGCCATGATCTGATTCGTTTTCTGATTCGCAAGTCTAGGATTCTGGGGGTTTTGGAATAGGATTTTCGTCACTGTGAGGCACAGGTCTCATCGCAGATGGTATGTTTGGGTAGTTAATAACCGATTTTTTTTCTTGAACATACCTGTGGCTTGTCCAACACAAGGTACCATGCAAAAGTAACAATCATTAATATGATTTGTAGGCTCTCTCCAAACCATTGGGACAGCAAAGCGCATAGACCGTTTTTTGCCATTTAACCAGCTCCTCAGACTTGAAGCACATGTATTACAGCAGATGTGGGATGCCCACTGTTTGTCTTGATCACCTAGTTTACAACCGAAATAAAGCTGATATGCCTTTGTTATTAGTGGAGTAATAGACCGTGTCTGAGACGCAAAAGTCACATCACCACACACGTAACAAAACTGATCTGGATTGTTTACACACTTTCGAGACATCTTGCATGAACGCTGTCAGCCAACTGAGGAAAAAATGGCTAATATAAAACAATATAATGTACACGTATGTATAACGTAACACAATCATGCCGATTACATCATCTTCCTTGCCGAATATAAAAATGTAGCACGTGCATTCAGTATATTAACACTGTCACAGCAGGAACACTTATAATTACCGTATCTCTAAAACTTGAACTAATATTGAAAAAATAAGTTTAATTCCGGTTTTAGCACATTAAAAATAGTAATATTTTGTTGATTTTATTTAGGATATTTTTTGGCTGTTGATCAGTATTATTGTTTAGTCGTTTGAAGCTCCACTTAAATTATTCCTATTCCAGAAAAGGTAAGCCTACAGTATTTTTTTACTACGAGTTTTACAAGAAACCAGCGAGTTGATATGCTATTAATATTCGGTGAATGCAGACAAGATTCTAGAAATGCTTGTTCGTTGTAAGCTCAGCGATATCCTAAGAGAAGATATACAAGTTACTAATACTTTTTCCAGTTAGAGGCAAAGTTTAGCTAAATGATGATGTCAATGGTGATGAAGAGATCTTTTCGTAGCAAGTGAAGAAGTGGAGTTAAATGTTTTGGCATATGTTCACTTTGACCCAACGGTATCTACAAGGCAACTGGAACAAGCAGCAAATGTAAATCGTTAGTAGATTCCGGTCATAAAAATACCAGGTACATCATTACTAATATTAAAATGATTTTCCAAGAAGATTGGCCTACTCTAACTGGTTTAGTGCTCAACTTCAAAAAAACAGAAATTTTCATTAGCATATTTTGTGGCCTGATGAATCGCGTTTCACAAATCTTGGGTTATTTTATAAAGTATCCTCCCGACAAGTATTTCAGTGCGGACCTGTAGTTGATCGTGAGGTCTTGGAGCACCGGCATGCCGTCCCCTGTGAGGTCCTAAGTCACCTGATTCACGAGCCCGTTGTACTACATTAACAAAGGCACGAGGGGTTGGTTGCACTCGATTGGGAAACCGATCCGCATAAACATGTGTCATTTTTTATTTCGTTTGAGCCACGCAACTGACACCACTATTCACTCACGCGTTACCGACTGACACTGACTGTATACAACTGAATAAAATAATTGTAAAAACATCGTTCCAAATTCTTTCGCTTTTTTGTTTCTGATGCGATGAACCGATAAGGCGGATTATATCCGTTGTTGCCATACACGAGCACATAATATTATTATTGAGACAGGGCGGTACTCAAACTTCCAAAGGGCTACAACTTTGTTACTTTAATTTTACCAGAAAAATTGTAAAGGAAAAAACATTTCTTTTGATCAGGTCTACTCACTGTTAAAATAAATGACTCAACTTCGAAGTCACCCTGTATATAGTATACAAGATTTGTCGAAAAAGTATAAACCACAAGAAAATTATATAGGTTAACCAGAATTTGTGGCTAGCTCACAAACCATCTATACTCTGGGCGCTGAAGAAAGACATTAAACGTAAACAGTGATCAGCACGTGAACAGATCCCTCGAAAGCATCCACGGATATACTCCAGTCACTTTAGGTCTAAACATCCTCGGCAGTGTATTTCTAGTGAATCCACAGACCCTTTTTCGTGTCATCTTGAGACTAGAAAAAGGATGACTGTTAAAATAAGTTACCTTGATCTTTCATGAGCTCCCAGTACAAAACATCATCGATATATTTTTGATGTAGGAACAACAAATTGGTTTAGAAAACATCCACTTTGAACCTAAATTGACTGGAGTAACATCGATCTACAGACAAATTCAAGGTCACTAGCAGTCGTCGGCGCTCTACGAATCTGCACAGGTTTGGACTTGTAAACGTGATTGTAGATGACACGACAGGCATCTAACAGTTAATTCACGCACAGGATTGCATTGCATACGCATTACGCATTCAGTAGCGTATACTCGTTTTTCGCGAGTAGAACGTTTTGTTTATATATTGCCTAAGATACGATGTCTGACACAGATACAGCCGACGAAGTGGTTGACACCAGCGCAACCCCACCCAAAAAAAGGGCTAAGAAGCTACATTTAAGTGCAAATGAAAAACAAATAATATTAAATATATACAAAAACCAAATTCAAGAAAAACCCGATTTGGTCGTGGACGAAGTTATATGTAAGGTAGCACATATTTCTGGAGTATGTCGGTCCAGTGTTTATAGGATCATTAAGGAATATAGGAGCACTCACTCACTTTCTGAGCAAAAACCGTATCCTGCAAGAAAAAGGATAACGGACGGAGTAGATGACTTTGACAGAACTACCATCAGGAGGAAACTGCATAATTTTTTCTTCCGAAATGAGATACCTACAGTAGATATGATATTAAGATTAGTTAATGCTGATGAGGATCTTCCATCATTTAAAAGAACCACATTCCGAAAACTTTTGAAGGAACTTAATTTTCGATTCTTGAAACGGGGAAGAAACAGTATGTTAATAGAGAAAGAAGAAATTGTTGTGTGGAGAAGGGAATACCTTAGGAAGATTCGGAAGTTTCGCGATGAAAAAAGAAAAATTTACTATTTGGACGAAACGTGGGTGAATGCTGGACATACTCAAGCGAAAGTTTGGGTCGACAAATCAGTAACATCATCAAGGCAGGCTTTTCTAGACGGTCTTTCGGCTGGATTGAAAAATCCTGCAGGTAAGCTCCTTCATCTATCCGGCAATTTAATTTTGATAAATTCGGGCAAATAATATGCTGTGATAGCAGATAATGTGTGATATTCTCCAAAAATGGTGCATTCGCAGTGTAGTCATTAGGAAAAAAACTTCGACCCTCTTTTAAGCGTTATTTTGAAATTTATTATCATTTTTGGGTGCAGTCAATTTGCTTTGAATGGGTTTTGAGAAGTTGCAAACTTCAATTTTCTACGTTTTTCAGTTTTTGATCAGCATTCCGTGACTCTTAAATTCAGCTAAATGAACTCAATTGCCTTATTCCTTCAAATTTAATCAATCCATAGTGTAAGGAATAATTTATTTCCACGAAAAGGCAAACGGCTGATCATTTGTCACGTAGGTAGTGAAGACGGCTTTGTTCCCGAAGCACTGTGGGCCTTTGAATCAAAAAAGACAGGGGACTATCATGAGGAGATGGACGGCAATTCCTTTGAAAATTGGTTCTCCAAAATGTTACTAAAGCTGGAGAATAACGCTGTTATTGTACTGGATAATGCCCCGTACCATTCTAGAAAAATAGAAAAAATTCCCACAATGGCAACTAAAAAAGCAAACATCAATGGCTGGCCTCAAAACAGATCGATTTTGATGAAACAATGGTCAAGGGTGAATTGATAAGTATAGTCAATAGACATAAATACAAATACGATTTTAAAATGATCGACGAAATGGCCAAAAAACAAAATAAAACTGTCTTGAGACTGCCACCCTACCATTGTGAGCTGAACCCTATTGAGCTGATTTGGGCCAACATAAAGCAATACGTGGCGTCGAATAATAATACTTATAAATTTTCTGATGTTAAAAATCTCTTTCACATCGCAGTCAATAGAGTTACGGCAGAGGAATGGAAAAACTGTATCCGCCACGTTCGGGAGAAGGTTGAGGTCAAAATGTGGGATTTGGACAATGTCATCGATACCCAAATTGAACCTCTAATAATTCATTTAAACGATTCAGAAGATTCAAGTTCCTCTTCTGAATGAGTGCGCGCAGCTTACTTACTAATAACTAAAAAGTGTAGTTAACTCATTTGTGAATCTCTAACTGAAATTTACTGTAAAAGATAATAATTATCTTGTATGAAATTTTTGATGACTACCCATAATATCTTGATGCGGTCCTGTAATGTCTCCTGCGCCTAAACACTCACTCACGAGCAATATGCGTGTATTTGTTTGGGTTTAGTTTCTTTCTTCAGCGCCTAGAGAATATAATAGTTGGATAAAGTGTGAACGTAATATCACTAGGCATACATGATAACCACCTCGTTGGTCACTATGTAAACTAACCAATCCTCTTTGGCTAATTTATTTTAGGATAGTAAAATAATTCTCTATCAAATATATATTTTATTTTTATTTACCACATGATAACCGTTCTTGTTTTTAGGGTTAGGTCCAGTTTTACGTATTCTCTTTATACGTTGCAAAAGTTCAGTATAATCACTATCATTCATGAATTTTGATTTCTGCTACTTTTGGTCATAAAGTACCAAGAGTATTTTTTCAAATTCTTGCTGTTGACTCATTTTTAATAACTAGATGCTGATTTAGGAATGGATTTCACAAGATACGACACTAAGCAATAAGAAATACTAGCTACAAATCACCTACAAACATATCCCCACTTTTCCAATAAATTAACCAGAGGATTGGTTAGTTAATATACTAACCAACAAATTGGTTACTATATATTAGTACTAATGCTGTGCTCACACTTCATCTATCTACTGTGTATAGTTTGTGAACTAGCCACAAAGTCTGGTTAATTTATGTAATATTGTTGAAGTCTGTATTTTGGGGATACATGTTGTACAGCCTATAGACTAACTGCATAGTATATAAACCAACCAATATTTGTAGCTATTTTAATGAAAAGTTGACTTTCCATCAAAAAAACCAGACATATGGATAGTTTGTATACTATCCAGCAGGGGTGGCTGGCCCTTAAGTTCTGCAGAGCGGCAGAACTGCCAAAACTTTTGTCTTAACAGAAAAAAGTAGTAGTAATTTGATCATTATTTATTTTCCATGTTATCACACAAATATAAACAATACCGGCCTGCAAGACACGGCGTCGAGTCTGTTTTGTACTAAGAAAGCATTATAATCGACCAATTGTGAACTTGTCATTTTCGTCGCGACCGCAGCGTAACATTATTCATGGGCCACTTGAAAAGGGTCTGTGCACTACTTCGACACAAGCCGCACGCGCTTGCTTTTGTCTCTCTCTACAAAATCAAATGCGCCATTTAACCATAAGCATGTGCTGCACGTGATCCGTACAGATCTAATGCGAAGTACGATATCTGATTGGTCGGTCGGTGCTCGGTCCTCGGCATTGGCATATTGACCTTGTCGCATGACGTGGCTTAAAATTTGAATGCGAACAATTTTTTATTTAGGTATTTTAGGTCTTACGTTAAGTGACTAGTGACTCACTGACTGGTTTACAGACTTATCAGCGTAAAACGATTCTGAAAACACACATTTGAAGAAAAAAATGAGCTGAAGGTATCAGGTCGACCGCTGCCGGACATATTTATAGAAACACGGCGTTAGTCGCGGCATTTCAGCAGGGAGATTTACACCAGAAATGACTGGATTTGTGGGTGCAACACGAAGAATGCCCTTTTCTGCTTTCCTTGCATACTTTTCGGTGGTGACAAAGCTTGGACGGAGGTAGGTGTTACAGATTTAGTGCACCTGGTTGAAAAAATTAAGAAGCATGAAAACTCTAAAACACATCTTCATAATTCGATGGAATTGGCTTTATTGGGGACTGTTAACATCACAGCTCAGTTAGATTCAGAATATTGGAGAAATGTACAACAGGATAATGATACCGTTACGAAAAACAGGTACGTTCTATCAAAAATAATCGATAGTATAAAATTTTGCGGAGCATTTGAATTGGCGCTGCGGGGCCACGACGACACCGAGAGCTCCCAAAACCCGGGAATATTTCGTGGACTGATTTTTCTGCTGAGCTTGATACAACCTTTAGCGAACACATAAAAATGTTTCAATATTTAAAGGAACTTCGAAAGAAATACAAAACGATCTACTGGACTGTATTCTTGAAGTTTGTCATGATGAAATAATAAAATAGTTTAACAGAGCCTCGTATTTGGCGATAAAAGCAGATGAACGGACATTTCGGGGAAAACCCAACTGGTAACAATTTTCAGATACGTATTTAACGGCGAACCAGTAGAACGTTTTTAGAATTATATGAATCCCGAAAAGTGTGACGCTGATACCCTCACAAGACATATTTTGAGCGTCGTAGATCCATTAATAGGAAATTTCCCTAACAAACTGATTTCACAAAGCTATGATGGAGCCGCGGTAATGAGCGGACATAATGCTGGAGTACAGGCAAAAATTAAACAAAGATATCCATTTGCTCACTATGTGCATTGCTATGCGCATCAGTTAAACCTGATTATGTCCCAAGCTGCTTCCACAAATGCTCAAGTCCCTTTGGGGATTTGAAAGATATTCCGGGATTTCTAATAATTATCCTCAACGCGTAGAGATACTGAATAGAATTGTGGGGAAAAAATTCCCCAAGAAGTAACAACTCGTTGGAATTTTAATATTCGAACAATAAATGCAGTGTTTGAGAACAGAGAATCACTCAAGAAAATTTCACTAATGAAACCGTTTGCAAGGCAGCTTGCGGTATTCGTCGTAACGATTCTGTTTTCGTGTTTTGGTTGACACAAAAGTATTTGCACTGAACCCCAAGGCAGCAAAAGGAGACGACGTAATAATCGCAGTCACGATCACCGAGTTGCCGCATTAGAAGTATGCGAAAATATAGTGAATTCTGCAAATGACAGATTTCAATTCAATGATCATTTGGTAGCCGCATCCATGTTTTCCCCGAACACCTTGGAGAATACTGTGGTAAGTTTCCTCATGACAGGTTGGAAACTTCCTGCTTGGCTTATCCCGAATAAGAAAAAAGTCGTTTAAAGACAGAGTTGTCTGTTATTTATACACGGAATGATTGCCGAGATTTACATGGAACTCTGTCTCTTTTGAAATTTTTGATACAAAATAGTTTAAAGGAAACACTAAAAGAAACAAAAAGCTATTAGAAATTATTGTTACAACTCCTATGTCAACAACAGAGGCTGAGCGAAATTTCTCAACATTGAAAATAATCAAGACCTTTCTTCGAAATACTATGACTCAGGATCGCCTTACAGCGTTGTCGATGCTGTCCATTGAAAAGGAATTTATTTCGACCATGGAAAATTTCAACGGGAAGGTTATCGACAAATTTCCTGCCAAGAAGGAGGGCAGGATCGAACTGACATATAAAAAATAGGTAAGTTCGGATTTGCAGAACACCTGTTTTATTTTACCACGAGCCGCCACTGCTATCCAGCTAGTCTATAAACTAGCTAAGTAAGTACTTTAACCGTAACATATATATATATATATATATACTATTATAAAAAATTGAGCGAAACCAAATAATGTCAGTTCCGGTTCCGGACAATGTGAAGAGCTATTAGAGACCAGTCACATACAATCAAGTCTGACAGCATTCGATCAGTGTAGCTGCATGCTTAATGGTAAAGTTACGTAGTGGTTCCAGCCGGAGTAGTTTTCAAACTTCAGCGAGTTCGCGACAGATGGTGGATGTTAGTTATTCAACAGCCGTAATGTAGAAACTGTTAAATTTGGAAGGATCTGTCGAGTTTTGCATGGGGTAGGTCCACTACCGACCGATAGGGTGATGAATAATATATTGCAAATACCGTGGAAATTCTGCGAAGCGGTTTGATGATGTTTTAGATGCATGGTTGACCTAGTGAATTATTCGAACGCTTGGAGCCGGATTACAAATTATATTTGGTAGCTCTAATGTTATTGATAATTATTCAAGATAGCATAGAGTGACTTATGCTTCAAGTTTCAACGAAATAATTTTGTTGTAGCTAAATTTCGGGAAACTGGGACAGTCGCCAATAACAAACGCAACATTGAAAATCCCATAAGGAACGAAGCAACAGAGGTGGGGGTTTTAGGGCAAGTTTATGTAGATCCTACGTTAAGTACCCGCAAATTGGAGATTGTGTGTGGTGTTAGTCGACGTACTGCCCAACGGATTCTAAAGGCCTATACTTTTCATCCGTATAAAATTCACCTGGTACAAGAACTTAATGAAGACGATTTTGATCGGCGATTACATTTTTGTGAAGATAAGAGTGAACGAATTATAAGCGATGAATATTTTCTATTCAACACTTGCTTTTCCGACGAATATTCCTTTTTTCTTAAAAGGCGTAATAAATCGTCATAACTGCCGATATTGGTCCGATTCTAATCCGAGAATTTATCATGAGGTTCATACCCCGCAACCACAAAAATTAAGTGCTTAAGCTGGCGATCATTTAGTTGGTCCTTTTTTCTTACCTGGAAATTTGACCGGTAAAATGTATTTGGAATTACTGGAAGACGCCATAGATCCTGCATTAACAGCCATAATTGAAAATCAGAATGATCGGCGTTACATTGCGAATAGGTTGATGTTCCAACAGGATGGTGCCCCACCACATTACGCATTACGTGTTCGACAATATTTAGATCAGACATTTCCAGATCGATGGATTGATGGAAGAGGTGCCATTGAATGGCCCCCAAGATCGCCAGATTAATCACCTTTGGATTTCTTTATGTGAGGTCATTTAAAAAGTAAACTCTATGCTACTCAGCCAACATCATTAGAAGACCTGCGACAAAGAATTGTGAATGAGTGCCTTCAAATTACTACTCAAATATTTCAAAATGTGCGGCAACGTTTTGAGCAAAATCTTTATTATAGCATGGAGAGTCATGGTGGCCATTTTCAACATCTACTTGCCTAACGAGTCAGTTCGTTCTTCATTTTTAAATTACTTTGCTGGTAAATGTATTGATATCCACTAATGATGATGTATTAGTTTTATTTAAGCTTTAAATCAATAAATCTTCAAAACTACTGAACTGAAGCTCATGTATTTTACATTATTATAAAGGGAATTGAAAGACCTTTGAAATAAGGTATCACTCGACCCCCTTTTTCATTTAAAATTTTGAGGGTGGTGTCACCCCCGCTTAGGAGGCTGCACGTGCTAACGTGATTTTTTGCCAAACTTGCGTCCCCCACGAAAACAAAATCGACGGGTCTGAGCGTTTTTTTAAAAAAACCTGAGCTGCCAGTAAATGCGTCTGTCTCGTTTTCGATGCGCCACCCTGTATAGTCGTCTTCGGTTCGTATCATTTCCTTTCCCGTTTAACGTTAATAATAACTGGACAAAAAAATTTAGTTTTTTAATTGTATCTTGTGGGAAAAGTGCACTTCTTTGTTAATTTTGGGACACTGAATCCAAAAATGACAATGAAATAAAAAAATTAGTTGCGGTTTAGAAAAAAGCTTTTTATTTTTAAGGATATATTAAAAAAAGTAACAAGATTCATATACTTATAAGAATCACTATATGCGCTGTCTTTTTGCTGTTCTTTTATGGATCGTTTCTGGAGCATCTCTACCAAGAGTCCAACAGTAGTCTGCAAGCATGGAAGGATTCCACTTTCCCTGGTACCTTTTTTCCATTGTTGAAATATCCTGATGAAAACGTTCGTCGTGCTCATCACTTACGGCTCCGCAATTGTCAGGAAAAAAGTCCAGGTGTGAGTGTAGGAAATGTATCTTAAGAGACATATTACAGCCCATCTTTTGATACGATAACAGCATATTTTTAACAAGGGTTTTATAGTTGTCAGCTTTTCTATTTCCCGAGAAATTAGTGACCACCAGACGGAAATCATTCAAAGCAGTTTTTTTCAATACCTGTTAAAGTGTTTTCAAACTGTGTATCTTTCAAAATATTTCGAATCTGTGGCCCAACAAAAATACCTTCTTTAACCTTTGCCTTACTTAGTCTTGGAAATTTCTTACACAGGTATTGAAAAGCTGACCCATCTCTATCTAATGCCTTGACAAAGTTTTTCATTAGACCCAACTTGATATGCAGTGGTGGTAATGAAATTTTTTTCGAATCTACTAATGGCATATGCTGTACATTTTTTTGACCTGGCTCTAGGAATTGCCGAACAGGCCAGTTTTGTCTGGTGTAATGACTGTCTCATTCACACAAAAAACAGCAAATTTTGTGTAGCCTAGCTGCAGCCCAAGTAAAAGTGCAACAACTTCCAAATCGCTCAAATATGCCATTAGTGCTCATCGTATTTTATGCATGTCAATAGGTACTTCATATTGTCATATGATTCTTTCATGTGAACTGCATACCCTACAGGAAGAGATGGTAAAATATTTCCAATATGCAATAACACTGCCTTTAAACTAGATGTTGAACTGTCTATAAACAATCTCCATTCTTCTGGGTTATAGTTTATATTTAAAGCCGCCAGTAAGCCGTTAATGTTACTGCAGAAAATCAAGTTGTTCTCCATATTGAAAAATGGTTCTAAGTCTTTGTGGCGTTTACGAAAAACACATACCGAAACATCGTCTTCTAACAAGTTCCACTGCTGCAGTCTTGATCCAAGTAACTCTGCCTTACATTTTGGAAGTTCTAAATCTCTTACAAGATCATTTAATTCTGACTGTGTTATTTTGTGCGGTTGCTGGCATGACGTGCTCGGTATAAAATCAGGATCTCTTGACGTTGATGGCACATCTTCTTCCTGACGAATCACTCGATCGCCATGATCTGATTCGTTTTCTGATTCGCAAGTGTAGGATTCTGGGGATTTTGGAATAGGATTTTCGTCAGGCACAGGTCTCATCGCAGATGGTATGTTTGGGTAGTTAATAACGGATTTTTTTTTCTTGGAC